CCATAAAATATAACATAATGCAATTTATATTGTAAATGTTATAAATAATTTTAACAACATTATTTTAAAACAAGTTTTGTGTATAGACTGGAAAAATAAATATATGTATGGAAAGGACTTATTGATTTTTTTGAGTTATTAAACATACTTTTTCAAATCCATACATTATAGAGTGTCATATAGTAAGATGATTGAATGATATATTTGTAAGGGCATGGAAGGAAGCAATTATGGACGATTTTAAGTAACTGTCACAGAATGTGCTGGAGAAATTCAGGAAAATCACAAAATTCTGTCAGAATATATGAGTTCCTACCATTCAACAACCATGTTCAGTGTATGTTAGGGAAACAGTCATGATCTCTTCTTTAACCTTTACATACAGGAAAGGCAATTTAAACCCTGGCCTTTAACTTCATGGTTAATGGTTTGGCAGTAAGTTAGTGGAACACAAGTAAAACTGGACTGTACATATGAAGCAACACAAGGATGATAAAGGTTAAGGTATTATCCTAGAGTTAACCTGGATGGACAGATAACCATGAAAAGCATCAGTAAGGATATCTGGTCTCTGAGCTGAAAATTAGGTTTAGGTGCTTCTGCTAATTATGACAGACAGTATAAAAAGCATGAGAGATAAAAAATATATTAAAAATACAGGTTGAAATGGGTGATTTGTTTAACAGAAATCATTATTTATATACAGATGTTTCTACCAAGGTGGACTGTCATATCAAACCCTCCTCTGTTCAGGAGCTCTGTAATACCATGTACCAGGGAAATTTTTTCCACATAATCCAATATCACTGTAACCTTAAGTTACCCATTTCTTTTAGTGTTTCAATATTCACGTATCCTGAGTTTAGATTTTATCCCTTCTTGTTTGTGTCATACAAAAAGTATGGGGATAGAATAAAGTGGAACAGGAAGAAGTATGGAGTGAACATGGAGAGTTAAACTGAGGAAAGATGAGAAAGAAATGTCGGCACTCTCAATACAAGCAAAATCTTGGAAAATAGTTCTTCCAATGTTACCTGTCGTAAAAGTAGACCCTCAGTGATGAACACAATTCTTGTATGTTGTGTTTTGCTTTTTTCAAAACGAATCTGGTAACCCACTTGTGAACCATATTCATTCAGTGTCTCAAATGCAACACGTTTGCATAACGAGATGCAGGCAATTCGACGAGGTTGTGTACATGCTGAGGAAAACACGACAATAAATATGAAATAACAAATTAGATAAAAAAAATTCTCACCTAAAGTACAATATCATACTCATTCATACTGGACACACTTGAACATTGGTTCAACTTCAAATTCTGAACAGAAGATTAGTGATAACTTGTCTTGCAAGCTGCATCTCTTAAAACTGCACTCTGAATAAGGTTCTAAGTAAAAGTATATTCTAAAAGATTTTCTTTTGTAATTTTGTTGTGTAAAATACAACACTTTCACTGTATACCCTTCTACCACTATTTATATTAAGACATAAAATTCTTCCTTCAGCCTTGCTAGTGTGGAATAGCCCAGCACAGTCTGGATGCAAAGTCCACTACTATAACTTTATTATTATGACAGTAACACGAAACAAATGGAACATACTGTATGGCTCAAGTTTCTTACCACCCCACTAAGTGTCATGATTTTTATCATCATAAACATCATGTCTAGACTGGCTGGCTCTGTGGCCCATTCAGTATCCTACCCAGTAAAATAATTGGTTTGTGATGCAAACTACTCAGCTACATCTAATGCTGAAGAGCCTTACCAACCGACTAGCATCCCCTACATGTCATCATGGAGTGATACTCAGACACAGGGAAGACTTTATTCTTCTTTTTATGAGTGTTTGGTATGCTATGACAATTTGCTTTCAGATTTGGTTAGAGACATTTCATGTGTATGCATAACATAAGAATTACTTTTCTAGCAAAAAATGTGCATACAGAAACATGTCAATTCATATGTCAGTATGTCCTGTCATCCATCTGCAATCTTTGAAATTATGAACCTTCTCCTGCTTGTTTCCTCATTTCATTAACTTTTAAAATCTCTCACTCAGTCACACACTCTGTCCTATATGGCAGTTAAAGATGCACAGGTTATACAGCATTAAATGGCAAGAATTAGGAATGATGTGCAAGTAGTCATGGTCCTATTTAAAAGTACTGGTCCAGCAAATGGCTAACAGAACAAACAAAAACCTCAAAGTACATCAGTCAGGATAGCCAGTCTCTAGGTCAACTTGAGCAACTAAAACTAAAAACAACTGTTTCTGGGAAAACCCAAGAGTCTGCTATATAACTACTATTCTTTCTTACAAATTATGTTACTGCCAAACAAACTACATGCTTACCAATTCCTTTATAGCCAGCTTCCAGAAGATATTGTGGTACCTGAGTTGATTTCCCACAACCTGTATCTCCAGCTATTATTACTACATTCTCATTTCTTATTGCTGCTACAATCTGCTCTCTATAATAAAACATACATCTGCATTTTAGCATTATACGCTTTTCATGTAGAACAATTATAATGTTTAAATAAAAATATTATTAAAAACTACTTTAATTCCCTTCACTAATCTATGGCTTCACATTTGTCATAAAGCTAGTAGAGAGTTTGATATGATAAAGGAATACTGTGGTATAAATGTCATATACGAAAATCAAGTTCAATCCCCCAAGCAAAACTAGAAGAGGGCAGTATACCAATATTATCTACTATGTTGAATATTGATTACATAAATAGAATGCATGAAGTGGGTAAAAGGAAGCAGAAGTGTTTATGAAATGTTAAGCTGGAAATGAGGAAAAAGAATCTGGGAAATTACAGAACATGGGATCTGACATGTTTCTTTGTCAGATGCCACATATCAGCCTTAAAAATTATCTCAGATTTTGTTATGGTGTCTTCTGGGTATTTATTGACATAGTGTCAACTGCAGAGGTTATATGTTGTCTGCTCAGATGGAAAAATGTTCAAAACTTTTATTTCAAAGTACTATCTTAGCAACTGCACACATAAACTGGGGGCAAGTATGAAAATCTGTCAGCCTGAGCCTTTATCAACATTTCCTTTTATAAATCTTACATTGAAACTGTTAGCTCAGTGACACTTCATAACAACTTGATGTTTGTAATAGAGCATAAAACAGATGGGAGACAGCCCCATGAACTATAATCTCAATAAATGATGTATGTAGTTGATTCAACATTGCTAAACTTCAGACCAAACAATCTAACTATGAAAATACAAGGATACTTTGGCTCACTAGTAAATGGGACCATTTTGGATCCTCTCAAAAAAGGAACATTCTCTACATTACTTAAACACATTTCTTGAATTCTGTACTTACTTGTATTGTGCAATAGGCAAATTTGTTTGACTCTGGCGTAGTTTAAGAAGTTTGGTAAACTTTTCTTTCTGTTTGAAGTCCAAGTACAGTAATAATATATCTTGAAATTCTGACAATCGTTGTTGAGACAAACGACAACTTGGTGATAACTGGGATGCCAACTGTTCCAAGCTTGCTCTGAGGGAAATGCTTACGAGGTGAGACTTGTCATACACCGAAGGTATATCCAGTGAATTAGGATTAGCACTTGTATCTGTACCAAATAAATGTTAGTATCAATAACCCTTCCATCAGATCATTCCACCAGAGTATAAAATAAGGGGGAGAAGTGAGTAAACAGTACTATTGCCTGTAAACCGTCAAAGGCAGAAAAGTTTCTGGCATAGCATTTTTAAATAGTGATCACCTTCTTTGGGTATGAGTTAAAAGTACATTAGAATGATTATGCTGCTGTACATTACAGCTGTAAATAAAACTTACATTTTGTGACATGTTAAGAGTGTGAAGTATATTGGAATGATATATGTTATATCAAAATCTTAAATAAGAAACAGGAATTATGCTCTGACCAGATTATAAAGTTCTTCTGAAACTTATGAGTTCCATGAATTTTTGAGGAAAAATAAAAAGACTTAGAAATCATACAGATATAATAAAAATGTATTAAAGTGATTATATTTGCAGAAAATTTCAATTAGTGGTACATATCTATTATTATATACCCATATTTTGATGCCCCTATATATTACATTACAGCAGAATTGAAATATTTGCTTACATCTGGGCTTAACCATTACAACCCAGGAGCAACCAATAATAATGTACAGCCACAAACATAAAAATATTATTAAGAAATTATGTTAAATTTTGAAATATTACTCTAATCCAATATCTAAAAGTTTTTAAACTGCTTAGGTTTGACATAAGTATTGGTCATCTTGTTAATCTGACATAGCATTTCCTTTATAGCTTAAAGATACCAAAGGTTACATAAAAATATACAAGTGAAATATTTCACAATACAGAAAGTATTCTAATCTTCCAGAAAAATGTGGCTTGCTTTTCTGGAATTCTTTCTTACCAGCAGATCCTAAATCATGTTTCCTCGCTCCTGCTCTCTTTTGAACAGTTTCATAATTTTTCAAGAACTTCCAGAAATCTTCTGGTTCTGGTATTAAATCTTCATCTCTAAGGAGAACTCTCAGTTCATAAGAATACATCTGGAAACTGAATTCAGGCTGATCACCCTCATCCCTACTGTGACACGACTTATGTGATTCTTCTTTATTTTCATAATCAAACGAACTCTGCCTTTTCCTGTCTGTCTCCAAAACTCCTCTGTCTCCCTTAGTAATACGTTGTTTTTCATAATATCCTATGGAGTGAGCATCCTCAGATTTCTTCTCTACTGGCGATCTAGAACGATGGTGTCGGTTCTTATGCACTCTGGACTTACTGTGGTGGATTTTTGAACTCTCATCTGACTCTGATGAAGAGTGACTTGCTGACCGTCTCATTGACTTTGAAAAGCAACACTTCTTGTCCTTGTATTTGACATTTTTCTTTCTATCAGAAGTCTTTCCCATGTTTCTGCATTAATACCATAAAAAAGGTTTGCTTCTCAGAAAATTCAGACACATCTATAAGCAATTACCACCTTGTAAAGTTTGAGAGTGTGAAAATTTGGTAATTTCATTCCATGTGCTTAGAACTGATTACAAGCAACACAGCCTAACCCATATTAAAAATAACCTGAATTTTGTTCTCAAATTTGCCGCCCGATCCATCCAACATGCACAAGTAAACATATACCTTACATTGGTAGATGCTCAAATAATAACCATCACAATAAATCCATGGAATGTGTTTTGATATGCACACACACAAACAGCATCAGTACGTTAGTACTCAATTGAATTTCCACTACGCATTTACTCGTCACATAACCTCAACTACATATTAACAACCTTAGATACCCGCCAACGCAGATCGGCACTAGACACTTTTGTGCACAGATAATAATGCTAGGTTATTGGCAACTATCTACATCTTTCGTATGTAGCGCGAACTTCGTTCAAGTAACTCTAGATAGATATGAATAGATGTCTAGAAGATTTGCTTTCCATCTCTTATCTAGGTTGCTACTATATTAGCAGTACGGATATTAGAACCGCTATTATCATCTTTGTACTACCACCTTACATCCATTAAAGTTTTGAATTAATACTTCACATGGCTTGACAGAGCAAAGTCTTATTTTGGTATAAACCATCGTAATATTCTTCACTGTAAGTCTGTGTAAAAATTTGTTTTGGTTGAAACCATAAGCAATATCTCAGATGTCAAAAACAGTTGTGTCACAAGTAATGGGACTTGGAATTTGAATATATACTGTACTATAGAAACCACACTCCTTAAAATTTTCTTTGCAAATCTGACCCAAAATAAAATTCATTAAAATGAAACATGGCACATGTTTCAGCAGGGACCAGATATATGAAACTCCTCAAAAAAGGCAAGACAGTAGTCATAATTTAAGTTTATAAAGAAACAAAGTGAGAGTCTTAAGAAATACATAAAGCAATTATAATGCTTATGTCTCGAGACACATACTCCAATTCAAATGGTACTAAAAGAAACAAACCCCTACACTAGATGTAGTTACTAGTTACCTGCAATTCTTTGTATTTTCAATACTCAGGTGATATAAGTCTCACCATAATACTTTAAAAATCAGTCTTTCATTCCCATAAAGCTTCCATGGCAACATAATCTTCTTGGGCCACTAGCCACATCAATTTGGAACAAAAGGCCAATGTTTCAGAGAGCCTCTCTGTCTCTTATCATTTCAACATTCTGTATCCTCTGATCACTCTACAGAATGATTTCTGCCACTTCCATTCTTTCATTAACCTTTTAAGCCACAACCATGTGAATGTTCTTACGGCATTTAATTGTTCCCATTTGCAGTGACCCAAGTACTCACACAAAAATTCTATGTAAAAATACTCCCACAGGGTGTTTCAAGTGCCACTGCTGTGTGTAAAAAGTGGAGGTTTAAACAAAGGATATCCACAAAATGTTTGTAAAGAATAGGGGCTCTGTGAATTTCTAGAAGCATTTTCTCTAGAAATGCAATGTTGTTATATCTATTTTTTAAGCTCCACATCAAGTCGGTATACTCAACATGTCCTTAAGAAAACAAGTACAAGGAGTGGTGATGGTAGCAGTGGTTGATATAGCTACGAAGTACAGCGTAATCAGGTTCAAAAAATTGTTTTTGGAGTGAACAGTTTCTTTCAAAAGTATGTGTGACAGTGAATGAAGCAGACTTCAACTTCTCAAAATGTCAGGACCAAAAAGCCAAATCATGTGATGTTCATAAATCAAGTGAATCACAGACGTGCGTGTATCTGAAGGAACAATGAATTTTAACCCTTGTAACTGGAACAGGCCAGTAGTTTAATCGAAGATGTTGCTGAAGATAAGATTTCCACTGCACTGCTATGGCTCCAGCTAATAGGAATACAATGAAGACCAATTTAATTTTATTGATTTCGTAAGCAGAAAATCAGAACAGCACAAAGCTTAAAATTAGTTTTGCCAAACAGCCAAAGACAGAAAGAACATCATGAACTTTATGAAACTAAGCAAATGTTACAACATACACGCACACTATGTGAAGCAAAATTACAAAAGTACATACAAATGCATACTCATCAAAGTACTGAATATGATTAGTACTTTATTATATATTGCACAATTCAGAAACAAAACATCCTCTTACATAACATGTTAATGGAAAATAATATAAGTTTGAAAGGAAATGGTTTTCCAATTTAAGCTGTAATCTCTTTGATTACTGTAATACAGTACTTTCAAATTATTGTTTGTGTCAATATGGGCCTAAACATGTGTAACTGTGACATTAAATGTTTAAACTTTTCTTACTGAAAAGTATACAAAACAATTATTACAGCTGTAAAATTAAAATAACACTATATATGTGCAATATAATGTGAAATCGACAAAGAAAACAAAACATCTCTTAACAAAAATATTTATTTTAGTGTGAAAATACAACAGCGGAACAATAAATCTCCAGTATTTTGAACATTTCAGATTTACTATTATACATTTCAATGTAGATATCAAGAACACATATGGCTACATTGAATTTGAAACATTTACCTATGTATGATAACATGCAATGGAATACTGTGTACCATGGTCACCATGTTAGGATTATTGGCAGATGAATTTAAAATGTACATAGGTGGGGTGACCTTAAGTGGCATGATGTTCATACCAAATTACATTAAAATTTTCAATTCAAGAGTTATCAGAGAACACACAAACATATTCAATTGAAAGACAATGTCATATGTCTATATTTTGTTATAAAATAATGATGTAGGCTAATTTATTGCATGGTACTGAATTAGTGATCATGCACACTTCAGAGGTCAGAACATTAGTGCCATTTATCATGTCCTGAAATTTTGTATCCCATTAGACCTCAACAGAATATTCAATTTCTGTCAAGGTAAGGTCTTAGAATGTAAAACATAATCAGGACAATGCAAAATCTATAACTAGGTTTTGGTATGATGGTGACAACATATGTACACATTCTAAATGAAATACATACAAATAATAAAAATATGGTGATTGAACAACTGAAATTATATCTGAAAAGTTCAACACAGTAAAAATTTGAACCAGTAGAAATCATGAACAAAACTGAACCACTGAATTACATAAATATTAATTCACACTTCCAGCTATATGAGTCAAAATATTTGAAAAAAGAAGGAATTATGTATTCTTCCCCAGAATTTCATGTGTTTTGCAGAATGAGACATTTTTGAGAAATTCTGTTTCTTCTTTCAAGTAATGGAGTGTTCAGAATGATTTTGGCTCTTCTATTCAATAAATGGTGCAGCTACTTCCCCTGAATGATAAATAAAGATGAAGAAGATAATAAAAAATAACAATAGTAATAATAAATCACATCAACCTGAACACTCATCTGAGAATGCATGGAAATGTATTTTTGTACTCCTGTATGTGCTTATGTTGTGATCTTAGACATCATTGGTAAATACATTTTTTTCATGATCTTCATACAGAGCTTGAACATATTATACAGAATGCACATAGGCATGCTCCAATCTTAAATGTTTGATTAATAAATGTGACACTCATATAGATGGAATATGGAAAATGAATAAATACAGTTCTTAAGAATACTGCAGAACCAACTTCTGTTCACCAAAAATGAACTTTTTAAAAAAATGTTTCCCATGAAATAGTCATACTTACAACAAGGTTGTTTTAAGGGTCATACACAACATTCTCTCACGCTGCTGAATTGATATTTCCTGTCCAATAAATGTCACTTGGATCAAACTTCTCTATCTCCTCCTTAAAAAATCAACATTTAAGGAAAATAAATTATTTAAATTAACTTTGGTAAATCTCATGAGAAAAGACTACTTTCAATATCTACACACAGATGGCAAATGGTAAGAAATGGATCATAGGGAAAGTGATACTGATGTTTAAACTAGATTGGATGAGTCATTGTAGGTTTATGGTAATGGTTCAATTGATACACCACAATAATATTGGACACTGTTCTGCATAGCCTGGGGTATATTTAACATACGTGTTTCAGTAATTGGCTCTAAGCCTGTCTTTGGGTGATGGATCTCACCATAATTCCAGATATTTTCATAATTTTTACTTTTAGTATTAGTGGTAACAGTCAGGGTCAAACCTGGACTCCTTTGATTACCAAAACTGTAACATACACAATCTTTTGGAAGCTGCCTTTACAGTTATCTTCTGCTGAATATAGAAAAAAAGTAAAAGTAAATGTTGTCATTACAAAGACAGGACATTTGTATGGTAACTAATGTTAATAAAATTTTCCCAGGATCTCAGCGGAGCTAGTCCCTCAAACACTGATTTTTAATGAATTGACACAACTGATAGCCCGGGAAGATTTTATAAATGTAGAGTTGTATGCATACCATAATAATTCTGGAGTGTCTGCCAGAATTTGAAATTTGTGAATGATGTATATGATGCCAGTTTTCTTTTTGGGTCAGTGACCTTCATGCGGGTGGGGTGTCTAATGGCTGCCTAACTGGGACATCATCATAGGGGGACTCCCCCATGTGGCTGAATGGCTTCCAGGGAATTCTCCAGGTAACAATGGTAACTAAGATAATTGGGGATTCCTCACCCAGTCACTTCTAGGCTCAGAGACACATGCAGATCTTCATGTAAAGTGCCTGTTATTGTATAATTTTAACCAAAACTGAAATGTATTGACAGAGCACCCCCAGCATAAAATCTTCTCAAGGTTTTACACAGACAGAACAAAGGAAATGGGTGCATTTTTGCAACTTCGGTTATGAATGACCTAAAAAAAGTACTAAAATGAAGACAATATAAAAAACTATATCTTAAAGATGAAAGAACAGATAATTCAAAAAATAATGTGTATATGAAATACACCCAAGACAAACAGACACATCCAACACAACTGGATTGGATCAACTGGTGATATTCTATGATGATGCTTATAAAATGTCAAGTTCAAACACTGAGACCATCTCAAAAAAGTCAGTTAATTACACAAACTTATATGGTTTGGAATTTTGGAACATGAGTACTGTAGTGAGATCTTAGGTTCTCATGGTGTTGAGTATGAAAACAGCTGTCTTCTGGGTTGTTAAGTACTCATCAACCTGACCATGGAGGGAGCAAGCACCTCTGAAATGTTGGTAAACGTCTATCAGAATACACAGCACAGTAACCCAGAAGACAGTGAACTTCAAATGTACTGCACTTTACCATTTTCAGCAATTTATCATACATTCTAGGTTGTCACAAGTTCAGGCACATACCTGCACAGCACGTAACACAGCTCTGTCTTGCACATTAAGCAATGTCAGCATATGGGGCACTGATTTCAAGGGAATGAGATGGACTTTACCCTGTATGTAGCCAGATACATTCTTTGGCACACCCACAACATTAAAACTGCAAAAAAAAAAAAGGTAGGTACAAATCACACCTTCTGCACAGCAAGATGATTATATAGCATCTCATCAGTCCTGCTTTTAGGTTATCACAATTAAAATGCCATTATATTACAAGTGAAAACCCTAAAGACATAAAGAGGTAAACTCAAAATTTCGCTTCGTTTTACACTGAACTGAAATTTACTTTTATCACCCTAAGTAAGAACATGGACTACAAGTGTTTTGAGAACAAGGCACTGAGAAGAATACTGCATTTAAGACAGAAGCAGAAGGCTGAGTATATTACTGTATAATGACTATTCAATTCTGTTTGTCAATACTGAATGCACATATCACTTCTTGTTCATCAAGCAGACTGAAACATACTCAGTACACATTTTTAACTGTATGCATTTTTAACAAATTGTATGAAATTAACACATAATGGAGAGGCAATATCTGTAAAATCAGAAAGACTGATCAATAGGGTATTTAATGGCACCATCCTAGAAATTCAGGTGAAACTGGTGCAAATGGAAGTGAATGGTACACATCAACTACTGAAATGTGCTGCTGATATTAATTACTGGGCAAAAACACAAACACCATAAAGAAAGACAAGACAGACAGACTCTATCAGACACAAGAAGGTTGGTCCAGAAATAAATACACAGAAAATACATGTTTATGTCTCCTCACCAGATGTGGGAAAAAACCATAATATAAAGACAGCTAATAAATGTATAGTTAAAATATTTGGAAATGACATTAATAAATAAAAAATGAAGATAAAGACCATTTGGGTGACAAATGAACAAGTAGAGTGACCAAATGAGGAATGGTATACAGATATAAAGAGGAAAACAAATGGAAAGTTACATGACAAATACTTATCAATAATGGAGAATACATGTGTGTTATGCTTAAATGATTACAGTGAAACCTCTATCTATCGTTCCCGGAACTATCGTTTTCCCGGATGCATCGTCCGTTTTGTTCGGTCCCGAATACATCCCATATAAAATAATGTTACATTTTCCCGCTTCTATCGTTCCTCGAACTATCGTTTTATCGCATCGATCCTTAAAAAATCTTAGTCCCAGCACACAATTTTCCCGCAATGATCGTTTCTGAGAAATTGTAACGAAATTTACGTGATATTTTTAGAATTTAATTCCGAAAGACGCACAATGTTTTTGGAATAAACAGTAGCGGTAACCTGTTATGTCGCCCAACCAGCACAGATCCTTTTGGAATGAGGGGTCAGTGGTGCAGGGGTGATAGTTGGAGTGAATGGCGGTGCATGAGACCGGACTTTTCTACAACGCCCTCCCGGATAGGACTCTGGCATTGAAAGGTGAATCTTGCCACGGGGGAATACGTGCAAAACACCGAATTACTGTTCTTCTGTGTGTTAACAGTGACGGTAGTGACAAACGGGTTCCGATTGTAGTTGGAAAATCACGAAAACCGCGTTGTTTCAAAAACATGAAAAAACTTCCGGTGAAATATCACGCCAACAAAAAGGCTTGGGTGACAACAGACATCTTTCGGCGTTTTTAAGTTCTCTGGATGCCTCCATGGGCGCACAAGGCAGAAAGATTTTGCTGTTTGTTGATAATTGTGCCGCTCATCCGAAGGACACGACATTTCTACGAAATGTGAAAGTCGTGCAGTATCCAGCAAATTGCACGAGCGTCTTGCAACCGCTTGATTTGGGCATCATAAAATCTTTCAAGCAGTTGTATAGAAAGCGCCTTGTGCAAACAGCTGTATGTGCAATGGATGCTGGGAAGGATGTCAACATGAAAATTGACGTGCTACAAGCAATTCATTTCACAGTGGCAGCTTGGCGGCATGTCTCCCAACCAACTGTTCTGAATTGTTTTCACAAAGGTGGCTACGGGTGTGAACTTCGCACAGAAGCAGACTCTAACGTCAGTGTGGATGAGCATGATGGCTTTCACGAAGACTGGAATAGATTTGGCGCCGTGAAAGACGTGGTTAAATTTGGTGACTACGCGGCAGTAGACAGCGAGCTTGCTACATGCGGAGTCGACACGATTGATAAGTTGTGTGACGATCGCGAAGGGGGTGGGAGCGGTGAGGAAGACGACGAATGCGAGCCCGAAGCTGTGCCGAGTTTTGCCGAAGCACACGCTGCATTGGCAAAAGTGAAGTCGTTCTTTTATGCCCATAATATTAGCGAACGTGACGAGGAAAACATTTTGAACGTGGAAAGTACTCTGTTTGGTCTAAAACGTAAAGTTTCGACAAACCAGTTGTCCATTAAAGACTTTTTTGATAAAAAGAAGTAACTTTGAAAGAGAAACATTGTTTTTTTTTAAATTTTTAATGCTTCCCGCATCTATCGTTTTCCCGCATCTATCGTTTTTATTTCCCACCCCCGCCGAAAACGATGCATCGAGGTTTCACTGTATAACTGTTGCCATAGAGACAATGTTGAGGGCTCCTCCCCACCCCTTCAGGGATTGCATGTCACTGCAAAACCACTACTAACTCCTAAATATGGCTAGTAATTGTAGTGACCCACAGTGGTTCTTCAATGTGTATAGTTCTTGACACTTATTAACTAACTAACTAGATGGCTTACCGAACCCGAAGGTTCATCACCGAATTAACCAAAGCCCTCCACCGGACCCTGTCCTGGGCCAACAAAATCCAGTTTCCTTCAACTCCTATCTCCCATAGATCCCGCCTGAGATTATCCTCCCATCTACGTCTAGGTCTCCCCAGCGGTCTCTTCCCTTCAGGTTTCCCAACCAGTACCCGGTGCACACCTCTTGTCCCATCCATGTACCCCGCATGGATGGGACAAGAGGTGTGCACCGGGTACTGGTTGGGAAACCTGAACGGAAGAGACCGCTGGGGAGACCTAGACGTAGATGGGAGGATAATCTCAGGCGGGATCTATGGGAGATAGGAGTTGAAGGAAACTGGACTTTGTTGGCCCAGGACAGGGTCCGATGGAGGGCTTTGGTTAATTCGGTGATGAACCTTCGGGTTCACTAAGCCATCTGGTTGGTTGGGTCCACTATTTGCGAAGCCTGAGGGGAAGAGACCTCTGGAGAGACCTAGACGTAGATGG